ACAGGGAAAAAGATGAGCTGCAGGAGGACTGATTTAGCAACTGCACTGAGGATTAACTGATGAACAGTCTGATAAATACCCTGCACACTACCAACACGCCACAGAGAAAGCAGCCAGCTCTGGAAAGCTAGAGATAGGCACAGTGTGTAGTGGGCAACAACAGATATATTTCTGTTAAAAGACTTTTTCTCCATCTCCCAAGCATCCTACCAAATCCTTCTGGAATGGCTTATGCAGTACAGTTTTCCTTCCCACCCTGAGGAGACGGCAGAATTCACCTGGACAGCAAGTGACTGCTCAGAACCAATGCTCTGACAATGGCACATCTCTTGAGCTCAGTGTGTGCTCTGTCTGCAAACACCCAGTTAAATCATCTGGGAATTAGAGAAATGCACAAAACCAAAGGACTGCTTCCCAAAAAAAGAAAATCAAATCCTGAGCCTGCTCTTCTCCCTGCCACACGCTGGCTTGCAGCAGCACACAGTTCTGCCAGTGAGTAACTCCAGACTTCCTCGCTTCTCCTTGCCATCTGCCCAGGCCCACTAACTCTGAGCTGCTTTCCTAAGGTACAGGAGTCCTGTGTCAGCCCATAAAGGGCACCCCTCTGTGCCACATTCCGCTCCACACGCCGGATCTGAACGCAGCCAAGGCCTGTGGAAAGCCAACGGGGTCAGCACTGCTAAGAAAAGCAGCTGTCTGGAGCAAGAACCCTTCCTGACCTTCAACAAAAGGGCAGAGGTGCAAGGCAGCCTGGCTCTAGAGAACTGCTCCCAAGAGCAGACAGGCTCCAAGAAGGGTTTGATAATGCCTGTGCTGCAGAATGTTTAAATATTGCATTAAAATATCAGCCACATAACTAAGAAAGAAGCATCATTCTTATAGACCTAGTGGCAATAAACTATCTCCAACAGACCTTAGTTTTCATCTTAGACATCCAAAAATAAAGTCTAACAAGCAGGAACCAGTTTCCTGCACAGTCCTATTTTGTTCCTTTTTCCTTCTTTTACAGACTACACCACCTTCGGTGGAGTCATCTACAGCCTTGCACTTGAGGGACACACTGAACTAAAGATCTGTGACATCCCTCTGAGAGGAAAATCACAATCAGTGTTTTAGACAGGCTGCTGGTTCCTTGTCAATCTGCAGCAAAGGAGGTCATAAGACCAGAGCAGGCACACAGGAAAGCCAGATTTGAAGTTTCACCTTGTTCCCTGAAGCATCCTTCCCTTTCCCTTCCTCTTCCACGTGGAATCGGAGGTTCTCTAGCAGGATGACAGAGCCAGCAGCAGGATTGGCACAGGCCTTCTCCACCTCGGGGCCAACGCAATCCTTCAGGAATAAGACCTCCCTGCAGACACAAGACAGACCCTGTGTGTGACTCTTCCTGCTGGAAAGGAAAGCAGCCAGGCCCGCTGCCTGATGCACACCAGACTGCTCCTCCACCTTACCTGCCCAGGAGTGCCTTGAGCTCCACGGCTACCGGGGCCAAGGAGAACTTGTCAGGCATGGGAACACCATCCGGGCGGCCCAGGTGGCTCATGAGAACCACTGATTTGGCTCCGTGGTCCAAGCAGTGCTTGATGGTAGGAACAGCTGCCTTGATTCTGTAATGGCACAGAAGAACAAATTATTCTCCATCCCAGCCTGTTTTTTTGTTTCATTGTTATATTCCAAGTGATGTAGGGCACAGAAGTAAAAGGGGTTTGTTTTGCTGTCTGAAGTCTGCTGGTTGCTCAGCTATCACAAGAAGTGCCAGGACAGACTTGAACATCACCAGGCTTCCTGGGCTAGTCTGTGATCCTGCACCAATACAGAGATGATGGGAACACTGGGCAGTGGAACAAAACTGGCACCTGCCTGCGAGTGGGAGACAAGCAGGACAAGACACCAGGTATCGCTGTTTCTGAACCCCAAGTCTTTGTGTGCTACACTGCAACAATTATTCTAGCATAAGCCAACAACTTAACAAGTTAGTGTAGTTTGCTAATAGTTGCAGGGGGGTTAATTAACAATTGTTGGACTTGCTCTGAGACACCTTTAATATTCTGGGATGGGCAATGGTAGCTTAATCACTGTAATGTTCCAGGTACTGGGCTAAAGTCAGAGAGGAAGCAGACTTTGGGGTCTCCATCTGGGATGGAAATTAGGGCTCACCTCTGATTGTTGGTTATTTTGTGATCCTTCATTGGAACATTGAAGTCAACCCTAAAAAAAAAAAAAGGAACCAGAAATAAAATTAGATATTCAACAAATTTATTTAATAATGAGTGAGGGAACCTGCCAGTAATAAAGGTGCTGGCTAGATCAAATTAGAGTAAGATGTTCAGCTCTGCCTTGTACTCAAGTTCCCTTTTGAAATCAGTGTGTTATCAGGCATTTCTGCTTGTGATAACAAAGCAGAGAGAACAAACACTGCTTGGATGACTCAGTAAAGCTGGGTCACCAATACCTCCTCAGGGACCTCAGTGGCAGTGATGCTGTACAGGAAATAAAACTTGGACTGAACCTTTTATTTTTAAACAGCATCATCTCAGATCCCCGACGAGGAGACTCCATGGGAAAGACGGTGAATAACGACAAGTGACCTCGTGTTCTCTAAGGAGGTCTCTAAAATGCTCAGCTGGACTCCTGTGGCCAGCAGGCAGTTCAAGGAAGCTTTAATTTCTGTTCTCTGCAGCTCTAATCTCTCTGCAGCTGAGTGCTGTGGCTTAGCCCATTCTCCCTGGAAGACCTGACTTAAGATCTCGAGGTAACTTCCTCAGCCGTGCCAGCTGAAGGGATGGGAGGGAGGAGTTTCACCAGCCACGTCCCGCTGGCATCCCTTGTGCCCATGTGCAGGAAGCCTCGTTGCATAAGCACAGAGGCAGAAACTGCTCACGACTGGAACGGTGAATCACCAGAGGAGAGCCAGCGTGCTGCTATTTCGTCCTGTACACTGAAGAACGACCGAATTCAGCAAGTTGCACGAATGAATTCTCTGACAGACTACTCAGCACGTGAATCAAACGGGAAGATGGAGCCAAACGGGAGTAGCTGAGCAGAAAGGAACTGAACTGGCAGCCCCAGGGCACACAGTGGGCTGATTCTAGAAAGGGGAAAGAAAGGTCCCATTATCGGGCCATTGTCCCAAAAGGAGAGAATAAAAGAGCAGTTTGCTTTACCTAGCCGTCAGAACCACAAAAGAAAGACCCAGCTCAGCCTTCTTCCCCGCTGCAGGCAATTGAAATCTGAGCTCCCCTGAATCCTTTCTCCTCCCCATTCCCAACTTCTCCCGAAGCTTCGGCATTAGGGCCGGAAGCTCAGCAGGGTGTGAGTGTACCAAAATCACGATGGGCGTGAGCAGAGAAAGAAGAGGCATCGATTTTAGTACTACTGAGAGCACATGGTGACTCGTTTCAGGGAGATGAGATGCAGGCAGGAAACACAAGGCCTGGCAGGTCATCCGCGGTGTCTGAGTACCCCCTCAGCAGAATTGCAAAGGTAGATTTGTGCATTAATTATCAGAGATTTACAGAAAGCAAACCCAACCCATCCTCTGCCGAGGCACCGCTGCTCTCTGTAAAACGGCTCAGAAAAGGGAAAAAAACCAGTCAGATAGAAAATAAAAGTCAGGTGCTACAGAGATAGAAAGATCTTTTGTTTTACCAGCTTTAGGAAGCACATGGAAATCCTGAGCAAGCTTCTTCAGTACTCGCTACAGGGGCTGGTTTCTGGTAATCAAATTTCTAGGGAACTGCTTCAAAATAACGTTACAGAGACAAGATAAAAAGAGCAAGTTGTCTGACAGACTACAGGTAAAAGAAATTATACTTTTGCTATCCCTGCCTACTCACGGAGTAGTTAACAGACACGTAGCAGCCACATCGTAGTGACCTTGAACAAACTATCCCATAATAAGAGTATTTCGAGCTGCATGTATCACGATGTACCTTGGTGCCCTTATCTCCCAGGATTTGGCAGCAATTCCAACATTAGGCTTTCAGGCCTTGACACTTCATAAATAAGCTATGAATTCCTATTTTAGGGTTTTAGACCAGGACGCGCTGAATACCTGCGACGATGCCCCATCCCTGGAAGTGTCCAAGGCCAGCCTGGATGGGGTTTGGAGCAACCTGGGCTAGTGGAAGGTGTCCCTGCCCCTGGCAGGGGGTGAGTTTTAAGGGCCCTTCCAGCCCAAAGAGGATGGAAAGAGAAGAGCTTTAAGGTTCCTTCCAACCATTCCGTGATTCTGTGATTCGGCTCCTGCTGCAAAAAGCTGAATTATTAGCGGTATTTGGGTAGTTGGACAGAGCCACAGCTTCACTTTTTTTATAACAATGCTTTTTGAATTTTCAGTAAGGAAAAAAAAAAAACCTCGGAAATAAGTCCTTTTGGGGTAGTTCTCTCGACTAAAAGCACGGTAGGCTGGCTGGATTTCCCCTCAGGCAGCTTGGGGCCGACACACGTGGGAGCGGAGCGATCCGGGGCGGCAGAGCCGTGCCGGGATTTACACCCTGCCCGGCCGCCTCGGCCCATCGCCGCGGGATGTGGGGGGAAAAAACGCCAACAAACCTCCACAAACCGCAACGCGCCGGGCTTGGGAACAGCGCTGCTGCCTGGGGACACCCGCCCGGCCCCAGCGCGGAGGATGGGGCAGGACGGCCCTCGGCGGACGCACATTTCCCCCCCACACAACGCCTCACCTCATGACGACCCGCTTGCCTTTCACGTCCACCTTGTCCAGGGTGAGCTTGTTGGAGAGGGACATGTTTGCTACTGGCCCGAGTCACTCAGCCACTGGTCGGCCCCCGCTGGACCCGCTCGGTTCCGCCGCCCCCGCGTTCTGCCGCAGCGCCGCCCGCGCCGCCGCCACCCCACCCGCCTGGCCCCGCCCCAGCCGCCACCGATTGGCCCGCCCCGCCCAGGGCGCCTCGCTATTGGTGGAACCGCCTGCCCGTCAGCGGGTGCCGCGCGCCGCGGGGCGGGGCTGCGGCGCCGGCCCCGGTCACGTCCCACACGCAGCCGCCGCTCCCTCCCTGAGGGGCGTCTGGGGCGCGCGGGGTGCGAGCGGAGAGCGCCGGAATTAACAGTTCTGTGTCTTATCGGAGCGTAAATTACCCATAAATGTGGCGAAGAAGCGTGTGGGTTGGTGGGAATCCTTCAGATGAAGGGCAGGCGCTTCCGCAGCTGAGGCATAGGCCTGGGGCAGGCCGAGCATCGCCACCGAAGGATGAAAAAAAGCTGGGATATTTTAAAGTGACTTATATAAATACTTTTCAAGTCAACTGGGGAAAAAAAAAAAAAAAAACAACTTTGAAGGGATGCACTTTCCGGCAGCGTGGTTTCATAGAATCACAGGATAGTTTGGGTTGGAAGGGACCTTTAAGCTCATCCAGTTCCACCCCCTGCCGTGGACAAGGACACCTTCCACTATCCCAGGCTGCTCCAAGCCCCATCCAACCTGGCCTTGGACACTTCCAGGGATGGGGCAGCCCCAGCTGCTCTGGGCAACCTGTGCCAGGGCCTGCCCACCCTCACAGGGAAGAGTTTCTTCCTCATACCCCATCTAACCCTGCTCTCTGGCAGTGTGAAGCCATCCCCCCTTGTCCTGTCACTCCAGACCCTTCTAAGTAGTCTCTCTCCATGCTTCCTATTAGGCTCCCTTCAGGTACAGGAAGGGCACGATTAGGTCACCCCAAAGCCTTCTCTTTTCCATGACAAACAATCCCAACTCTCTCAGCCTTTCCTCGCAGCAGGGCTGCTCCATCCCTCTGATCAACCCAGTGGCCTCCTCTGGACTTGCTCCAACAGGTCCTTGCTGTGCTGGGGATCCCAGAAGGGAATGCAGCACTAACCCTGCCCTCTGGCAGCTCAAAGCCGTTCCCTGTTGTCCTGTTACTCCGTACCCTCGCAGCAGGTTTGTGGGAGCTGTCAAAAAACCACCTGCCCCAACATCCATGCAGCCTCTAGCGCAGTGCAGAGGGCTGTGCTCTGGGTGACAATGACACAGTGCAATGGACTGTACTGGTTGAAAAAGGAGCTCATGGTCTTTTGTCTTCTCCCCATAGGATAGGCCTTTCTGTTTGCTGACAGGGTTATTTTTCTGCCACGCTCACAAAATGTACAGACACGGCTGAGAAAATGGGAATGGTGAGCTGAGTGCCTGAAAAAATCAGTTCTCTGCTGGCAGTGAGGACAAATGCAGAGGGAGGGCCTCCAAAAGGTAAGGGAAGTGCAGGCAAGATGAGTGCCATGTCTAGTTCTGGACCCCTCAATTCAGGAATGACATTGAGGGGCTGGAGGATGTCCAGAGAAGGGCAGCAGAGCTGGGGAGGGGTCTGGAGAACTCCTGAGGGAGCTGGAGGGGCTCAGCCTGGAGAAAAGGAGGCTCAGGGGGGACCTTCTGGCTCTGCAATCCCTGACAGGAGGAAGGAGCCGTGAGAACATCATTAAGAAGGGAAAGAAAACAGTTGTTGGGCAGATGTAAATTGCAGCCAGGGAAGAGCGGAGTGAGAACATGTGAACAGCTGTTGAGACACCAAGGTGAGTGGAGAAGGAGGGGCAGGGGGTGCTGCAGGTGCCGGAGCTGAGGTTCCCCTGCAGTCTGTGGTGCAGCTTGTGGTGTGGCAGCTGTGCCCCTGCAGCCCATGGGGGAGCATCGGGGTGCAGAGACCCCCCAGCAGCCTGGGGAGGAGCCCATGTCAGAGCAGGGGGATGCCCAAAGGCAGCTGTGACCTCATGGGAGGCCCAAGATGGAGCAGGGTCCTGGCAGGGACCTGCTGACCCATGGGGAGAGGAGCTCTGCTGGAACAGGTTTCCCTGATAGCACTTGTGGCCCTGTGGGGGACCCAGGCTGGAGCATCTTGTTCCTAAAGGGCTGCACCCCACAAAAAAGTGCCCTGTGTTGCAGCAGTTCATGAAGGACTGTTGCCTGTGGGATGGACTCACCCTGGAGAGGTTTGTGAAGGACTGTTTCCTGTGGGAGGGACCCCAGTGGAGCAGGGGAAGGACCCCAACTCCACTCCCTGAGCAGCGGCAGAAACAACAACTGACCACAACCCCCATTCCCTGTCCCCCTGCACTGCTGTGGGGGAGGAGGGAAAACTTGGAAGGAAGGAATGGTGAGGGTAAGGTGTTTTTAAGGTTATTTTACATCTCTCTTTTGGTCTGATCCCATTAGTAATAAATTTAATTATTATTCCCACTTTGAGTCTTTGTTGCCCATGATGGTGACCAGTAAGTGACATCTCCCACCTCTTCTCTCAGCCCATGGATCCCTCATCGTATTTTCTCTCCTCTGGCTGGTTGCAGAGGGGAGGGAGTGGCTTTGCTGGGTACCTGGCATCTAGCCAGGGTCAATCCACTACAGGTGGAATGCACTACCTGTTCACATGGAGGAAATCAGGAAACTTCAACTTAGTTTGTCAGCGTGTGTCACCCTAGTTTATCATTTATTGCTATAAATCATACAATTGGTGTTCAAATTAAATTAGGCCCCAGTAATGGTCTCGATATTGACTGCAGAATATAAATCTGGGGTGTGCCCAGTGGTCCCTGCTGTGATGCAGCAGATGAGACCCAGCCTTGCAATCGACCTCACAAGGACCAAGTGAGTCTTTGTAACCCGGAGCACCTCGACAGTGCTGGCAGTGTCATCTGGAAAGTGTGGATGCTCTTACAGCCTTCACCAAGGCCCAAGGGTCAAATCCTAAACTGGTCCTGGATCCAGCCTTCTCACGAGGTGAGAGCACTCCACCTTTTCAGGGTTTGTGGAGCAGAAGAGCTCTCAGGTGGGGGGATCACCTGCACATGAGCATGGCTGCACAGAGCCCTCCTGTCTGCTGAGCCAGAGGCACGAGTGACAGCAGGTGAACAAACACTCACTTTAAGGGGCTGCAGGTGAGGAGATAAGGAAGGGGTTCTGCAGATCCATTGGAGCTGTAACTGTTTAACTGTTCTGAAATTAATCCATTTCCTTCTCCCTGCTCTACTTTGTGCTGTGCTGTTTTCTCCAAAGGCAAAGGTTAAATTCCTCAATGCTGACTCAGACAGGAAAGCTCTTCCCAGCTGCAGTCCTTGTGGCACCTAATGCTTTCCCTGCTAGATGGGTTCATTCATTAGTACAAGACTTTATTTTAAAAAGCTTGCACGTCACCTCCTAGGGGTAAGAAAGCACAGAGCAGAAATGTCCCGGTGTGTGGCACAACAGTAACCTGAGCACCCACAGCATGCACGACAACTGACTGAGGAGAGGGGACAAAGGGACACAGTCCTGGGTAAGAAGTCTGTAGTAATTTCAGAGCACTTACAAGGATCACTGTTCTGGCAGAACTGCAGCATCGTTCATAAAATGTTCTGTGGTTTTATCCTTGCTTGCTTTTTCTCCATCTTTGTTTTGTGAAGAACATGAGGTAGGGGAACAGGGAGGATGTCACATGAGAACTTGCAGTTGTAGAACATAATTCCAGGTGGGATATGGCCAAGGCACCTGAATTTGTGTTTTATAAAGAAGTTACAAAGAAAGGGGGAAGTAATTACAGACACACATTTGAGACACAAAGCTCATTTCCAGGCTTGAGTCACCTCTCTGTCCTTCCCTCCTGTTGTGAAATATTTAGAATATACCGCAAATATTTAAAGAAAAAGGCCCATGCAAACAGTTCAAACCCTGCACTTTTAAATTAACCAGTGCAGCAAGGCCAGGGGGGCAAAGGGCTGGTAATGAAAAACCCATGGTAATGACAAAGGTCTGGGCTTAGACCTGTGACCATCCTGGGAAGTCATTCCTAGGAATACCAAGCAGCAGCTGTACTTTAGACTGGCATAGCCCTCACCTGCACCACAGTGCCAGCTCTGTTTAGCCAAAAGGAACGGCACTGGGGCAAGTTTAGACAGATGGGGCATGGGGGCGCCTGTTTATGTGAGACAAACTGGAGAGCTGTGGTTTGGAGACCAGTAATCAGCATCTGTGTCCCGTGATCTGGGCCGCAGGAACTTCCTGCTTTGAGAACCACCCACCGCAGTCGAAGCCTCCACTCCAAACCACGCTGCAGCACAAGGTCTAAGCCGTGTTTTTTCGTCGCAGCAGCCTAATTTTCAAACACAGGGATCTTGTAGGAAGGGTAAGAACATTCTAGAGAGAGAGAGATGGCAAAAGTTCAGGAGGGAGGCTGAGAAATAGCACACTTTTTTCCCCCCTAAATACTGGCTCTCAGCCCTCTGCACCCAGATTCCAGAAACAGAGTATCACTGAAGGAGTCTGGAGCAAGACCAGATATTTTAAAAGGCTTTTACACACATACCACATATTTAACTATGGAGATTTAATATCACAGTTTTTAAAAAAACTGTTTTTTAAAACCTATTATTTAAGACCTCTTGAATTGATTTGTAGTAGAGATTTTCTTGGATAGTCAAAGCTGAGTCTGTTTGGGGCATGTATTTTGATATTCAGTATAACTATCATACTCCCCTCATCAGTCTTAACTGCACATTTATCCACTCTAATGCATCAGCTCCTGTCCTTTGGTTTAGCCCTGCAGAGATGGCTACTTAAAAATGGGTAACAAATTAACACTGATCACCAGCTAGTAAAAGGCCAAATCCCCAGTTAGACCCTCTGGTAGATTTGCCATTGACCTTTGCTTTCAGTGAGCAGAATAACCCACGGGAGAGTGGTTTGGGGCACCTGCCCCCTGCCTGCTCCCCACTGGATGGAGCTCCAGCACAGTCACAGCACTCCTGGGACTCGGGAATTTCTGAAGAGATGCCGTTTCTGGAGCTTTTAAGAAGCAGGGCCCTTCAAGGGAAGGTGGGCAAGGACTCACTGGGAAACTTTAATGCTCTGCCAGTATTTCATAGTGGTTTCCCAGCGCCTCAAAGTACAAGGGAAGGCTTTTTCTGCCCCCCCAAATTCCTCCTCATAACTCTTCCAGGTGCTCCTTCTCTGCCCTTTCCCTGTTTCAAGTTACCTGATTTGCTTTATTTTATCAAATATTTAATTGTGCTTACTTTAAACTCTGGTACTTACATGTCTGCTTTGCAAATTGGTCGTTCACTGGGTTCCCAAACCACCAAGCACTGAAGAAACAAGCAGATTGTGTCTTTTTCTCCTCTTACCTCCTTAACAGGGCAGTTTCTCACAGCACGGGCCAGTTTGGGTGCTCCAGGGCAGGCTGGGAGGATTACCAGTGGAAAGCCATCCCAGCAACCCGAGAAAGAGAACACAGGAGGAAGAACCAGCCAGTTCTGCCTGGCTTTTGTCTCCTGAAACTGCCCGTGGGAAGAGGCTCCTCAGGTGCTCCTGCGGGTCAGGGCTTTCAGAGAGAGGAGCTGTCATTAATCAGGCTGTTCTGTGACCACACCCGCTTGGAACGCCGGCATTTTACAGGAGGGGGCTCTGGGTACGTGCCCTGTAAATGATCACCCAGCTGTGGCTCGTGGGGTCAGCTGGGAGGAATTACAAGGACTTGTGGCAGTGTGCATGCACAAGGTCAACTTCCACCTTTTAATCCTAAATAAGCGCTGGAGTTAACTGCTCCACGTGTGATTGTAGGCACTGTGAACATTGCCAGGCTGGGAGCATAAGAATTTAAGGACAAATTAAGCAAAAATATTAAGAGCACCTTCAAAGATGATGCAGCCATACTGAGATGAAAGCATCTAGGGAGTAGCTAAAAAATCCATGCAGGAGCTGTGTGCTGGTAAAAGGGATCCTGTCAAGCCTCAAAACATCCAAATAATTTAACCTTTCTCTTTTTTCCCCCCAACAGAACAGTGACATGGAATGGCAGAGCTCTGCTCACCACTCACAAGGTGCCTGCAGCCACCAAGGGAGGTGAGGCAGGTGAGAGGCTGCTGCACTAAACACCTGTCTGAGCTAAAGTAAAACTGAAACTTGCAACAGAATTTACTCTGGGGTAACTCAGAGCTTTCACTTTGGAAATATCATTGTCTTGTCAGATTTCAGGAAAGGAGAGGCATTGTCAAATTCCATATAATGGAATGATTTCTAATTTTAGAATGATTTCTAATTCTGTATTGATCTTGAATCACAGGTGATGTACATTGGCCAGGTGAATGAAGGGATTTATGCATCATACCTTGTTTCTAAGAACATCTGACCCAGTATTTGGGGCTGTCTCGCTACTTGAAGAACATGTGAGTTTTTGGGTTTTTTTTTGTTGGTTGGTTTTAACAACAAGGTACAGGTTGCATAAATAAGATGTTTCAATGAATCCAGATCAGAGTCCTGCAGATTTATCTTCCCTGAAACTAGGGAACCTTCAGCTGAGATAATCTCAAGATGCAGATATGTTAATTTGGGGAGTTTTCTGCTCAGAGCAGTGGTGCAGCTTCATAGCAGGGTAGTTTGGTAGGTGGCAGGTATCGTGTCTGTCCTGCAGTGACAGAAGCCCAAGGCTGCAAACCAAGATGCTTTAGATCCAACGCCCTAAACAATCTGCTGCAAAACTGTGGATGGATATATAAGTTTAAAAAAAAAAAAAAATTCTAGCTAATTTCTGTTGCTTTGGGTTTTAATTCAGTCAGAGATAAAACAGAACCATTCAGTTTGGAACAAGAAGGTTCACACCCTTTCTTAACCCAAAATGACTCAAGGCCTAAATTAAACAAACCCAAATGTTTTGGTTACTATTTCTGTGCAACAAACATGTATCTTCCAAAACACAAGTGCTAAACCTGCAGGTTTCCACACCTTTTGGGGCACGCTAGACCAAAGAGAGGAATAAATTACAGGGTTGTGTCTTAAGAGAGAGTAAAATTAATCTGTACCTCAGCCTGACTGCTCCGTGACACCCACTGAGAGAACAAGGCAGGGGGCACGGACCAAAACATGGGGAATTTCATCCCCTTTCCCACTGTGAGTGTGACTGACCCCTGGAAAAGCCTGTCCAAAGGCTGTGGAGAAGCTGAAAACCCCAATCCTGGGCAAGCAGCGCTGGGGCACCTGCTGTGACAGGTTTTGACTCCGTGACCTCCAGCAGCCTCTTCTGCTGCTCCCCCATTCTGGAACACAGCGATGCTCCCCCAGGATGATTCCCCCATTTCCCAACTTTCACTAACCCTCACTCCCAGCCCTGCAGTTCCTGCAGGCTCAGTGTCTGCTCAAGGCTGTTATTTAGCCTGGCTGGTAACACACATAAACCCCAATCCTTGGCCTTGTGCTGACCAAGCAAAAAATACTTCAAAGAGATCACAGAACGTGATTTAAAACAGCCTTCAGTTTACATTTTTATTACGTGACTTGTAATTGCCACTATAATGATGGAGGCATAGTCTTAAAAGAATAGAAAGCATGAGACAAAACCTTTCTAGATGCAAGGAACTGCAGCAGCCCTGCATCAGCATCCCACACCAGCATTCACTTCTCCATTCTTCATAGCAAAATTGAATTAAAACAAAATTCTCAAGTTTAAAACATTTTGTTGGAAGTTCTAAGCAAAAAAATAGGCATAGTTTTTAATAAATAAAAATGTTTGCTTGCTTCGATTGTGTTGTCAACTTCACCTTTTTCTTTTTTTTTTTTTGATAAAATTTCAACTGTTTTGAACTCTTAAAAGTTTAAGTAAGTTCGATAAGATTCAAAGAGCAACTTTTGAAACCTGGAGCAAATATACTTTTTTATTAAATAGAGAACAGGTTTTATAAATAGACACAGAAAACAATAAAATAGACAAAGGAGTAATACAATTTTGTTTGTAACTGAGTGTTTCCAAGTGATATTTTAAATTTCTGAATCCCACCTGTCTCCAACACCAATAAACCTATTTACATATTAAAACATTTACATTTGGGAAAACATTTAGCTTCCACATTATTCCACCTGCACTGTACATTCAAACTGAAAGACATTTTGGTTTTTCAACATAAAGCACCTTATGTAATATTTTAATCACAAGATAAACATTGTGGAAGTCGTTAGCACACCTTTGGGGAGTGTTGGACAGACAACCTGCTTTCAGAGATCTGGGTTGAATTTACCACAACCACCTTGTCCTCAGTCCATCCTTGGGCTCAGTTATTTCCTCTCCCCTCTCTGGTCCTCTGGCTGTCCCAAAAGCTGCTCCCACATCCCTCCCAGCCAGTATTTCCTGTTCCTTATTCCCTGACAATCATCTCTGCACATCATTAAGTACCTGGTTTGGAAAAGGAGTATTATTTGGAAAAGGAACATTGTTTTGTTGTAACAGGATCAAACACTGAGTTTCACAGAAAATGGTAAACATGGAAAAACATCTGTGTTGGGAAAAGTTGGAGATAAAGGCAGCAGTCTGCTGTAAACATTCACCTACATACAATTTGGACAACAAAAGGCAAAGTGCTCTAAAAATAGACTTGGAAATAGTTTAACAAGTTCTTCGTGCTGCTTTATCTGCCAACCAGGAATTTAGCCCTGACCCATCTCCCCGTTTCCTGCAGGAGGAGCCTGAGGTGTCATTTCCATGCCTTCCACTCCACAGCCAGCACCTGCAGCCGTGAAACCCCCGTCAGCAGCAGCGAGACCACCCACAGCACAATCCAAGCCAGCCAAATAATCCACTTTCACCTGCAGAACTGTGCCAAGGACGACACCAGGAACGAGGGTGGATAAACAAGGAAACTGAAATCCTTGGAAACAATCTGCACGACTGTGAAGCACGAAAACCCATCACAACATGATCAAACAGCTTTCAGGTAACAATCTGCTTTGTAAGAACAGCCCTGCTGCTGCGAAGTGGGAACACCCCATGGAATGGCTTTGCAGTGATGTACCTCAGCATGTAACACCATCACCCATTACATGCAGCTATAATCTAATTCTTAAAAATACTCTATTTTCATTAGAGGTATTAAAAATCCAAAATCCTGCAACAGAAATAGTTTGTTTCTTAAACCAGCAGTAGCAACACACGATGCTGCTCTCACTGCAATGCGAGTACACTGATTTACTGACAACAGCCACAGCACAATTCTGCTCTCACACCGCAGGACTCGTCTGGTAGTTGTCAGATAAAATGCAAAAGCTGTTTACTCACGACTTTTTACAGCCACAATCTATGCCCTGACATCAGGCTTCAAGTTAAAAACCAGAAGAGATCTCTGTGTCAGATGCCAAACTGAACTGAGTGTTTCTCCTCCACAAGCACAGCTGGTACGTGTTTACCCTCCATGGGCTGAACTTCCTGGTGAAATCCAACCTGACTGGGCCCCGGCAGAGCTGCCACCAGGCAGTGGAGGTGGGGAGTGGGCTCAGAGTAACCAGCTACTGGGTGATGAACACCTCTTTTCACTGAGAGTACTTTTAGTATTGATGATTTCATGATCAAAACCTGCATTTTGATATTGCAGTTCAGTGGCAAATGAGGAGTGTCTCAGTTCACAAAGGCTGGATCTGAACAGTCCAAGCAAAGGGGCTTTGCACCAACCCACGGAGGGACTCCACACCATTCCTGGTAAACAGACACTTATCTTTAGGAGGAAAAGACTGAACTGCAAAGATTTTAAAGGCAGTCTGTGTGACAATCTCTCCTGATTCATTTCAGGAGTGCCAGCAGACACTGGTGGCGAGCAGTAACTACACTGCCTTCCTAAATCTGAACACTTTGGCTATAATACCACATCACACTGATATTGCATTCCGATGTTGCAGAAGTTTTTGGCTTAGGAGAGGCTGGGAATGAACAAACCTCCCAACCCAGCCAACCTTCAGGCTGTGCCAGTAGCAGGAGTGTCCCAGGGCACGATGTGCAGAGCTCAGCGTGGGGGTGACCCCAAACCTGTCTGTCTCTGCCGTGCAGGAGCACACAGGGAGATCATCTGAAGCTCAGCGTGTGAAAAGCTGAAACCAGATGTTTATAAAATTAAAAGGCATTTGAGAGGAACCATTTCTGGCAGAAGGCAGGCTATGGAAACGAGAGGGGTTCAGGAAGTTCTGAAGTAAGGCACATCTCTCTGCAGACAGAACCTCCAGATTTTGCAGATGCAGTAATTCACACTTGTTCAACACAGCCCCGAACTCGGCCATGCATAAAGTAGCCTGGTATAAGGCTGGGAAATATTGTTCTGCTTCCTTGGTTTCCTTAGTTGTATTTTGACAATTTGCCAAAATAAATGCTCTACTGCAAGCTTCACGGAATGGGAACACAGCCCTGTTTGTCAGCATCAACAGCTACGCACCAGATTTTTTTGGTAAGTCTAGATTAAAACCCAAAAAAATACTCTGGAAAGTCACTGCAAAAACTACCTCTACACTGAAGAAGAAAGACCTCCAGAGGGATCAGTACATGCACAGACCTCAGACAGCTTTTGGTTGTGTTTCCATTTTGTTTCAGGTGTTCTGTTTTGCCTTGGTGGGGGTGGGAGGAGAGAGTTCAAGGCTCTCACAGCGCCGTGTCATCGTCCTCTCCAAAATCCCCCACCAGAAGTGAATGCTTGTCCGGCTCACTGAGGACGATGCTGTTCACCGAGCGCTTGTCTGAGAAGAGGGAGTTTATAGAGGCTCTGCTGTAGTGCAGGATTCGATCCATCAGGCTCAGTTTGGGAGAGCCAGGCCCAGCCTCATCGATGCCCACGTGGACGCTGATTTCCGACGGGCTCTTGTGCCTCATCTGCCCACGGGCCCTCAACTCCAGTTTCTCAGGTCTTGGTTTCTGGTACCTAAGGAAGGAAAAAACAAAACATAACACCTCTCAGGTTGAAGTGAAGTACACTGAGATATGGATAAAACCTGCCCATGTGCTGTGACTGTGCACAAGCCAGAGCCATTTATAATTTGATTGACAAGGTTTCTCCCAAATCCACAAAGACCATAAAGGAATTTTCCATTCTGAACACACTGCTGATTTGTACATCCCTCTGCAAGTTAGAAACGACATTTTTAAGCACTGCTGCCTGCTAAACAGACCTGCCTGAACTGTTCTTCAAAAGGCTTTGAAATCTCTTGTAGTCCCACCCTTATCTTCTGCCACTCTAAGTGAAAGACCCAAACTTCAAACCTGTCCCTACTCACATCTTTAACAGCAAAGAAGAAAGAACCACAGAGACAGAGGAGGCAGCCATCGCTGCAGATCCCATCCAGGGCTGCAAAACCAACCCAATGGGCAGGAAGACACCTAGAAAAAACAAACAACAGAAAGTTCAGAGCAGGAACACTCCATTATTCATGTGTTAACACCTACAGTTTCCCACAGACTGTCCAGTTTTAGTTGTATTTCAATGTGTTAACAAAGAGGATTTTAATTTAAACGACAAATATTTAATACATAAAGATTTGTGTTCTGCCTCAGCTGGAACTTCAGCTGAATCCACACCTGGGTGTGCCACCTGCACACTCTGAAACTCAGAGGAGGAATGTCCTGCCCACCCTGCAGTAAAGCTGCTTGTTCACAGGGTCAGGCTCCTTCAACAAACCTTTTATCTTGAAGTTATTTTGATGTGTTGAGCATATCCATAGTGTGGGAGGAGGACAGCTCACAAATATCCCACTGCAACATGCCCAGGCAGAGACCTCTGCCCTTACCAACAGCCAGAAGTAAAGAAAATGGAAACTCTCCCACACAGCAGTAAATCACTGCAACCTTCTACTCACTGGGCCCAATCTTAGTGCAGGGAGACACTCACGTACCTGCAGCGATGGGAACTCCAATGAGATTGTAAATCAGAGCAAAGACAAAGTTAATCCGGATCCTCTTCACAGTTTTCCTTGATAAATCTATGCTTGCTACCACATCCATCAAGTCATCCTGCAAGTTATGTTTGTTGGAGAAGTCAGAGGGAAAGAAAGGCCCCCGTGCAGTGTCTTTATACCCTTGTTTTAAAGCCAAGTACCCCACACCAGGTGTCACTGTGTAGTAAGTACTCTTTGTAGGCTGCTCTGGTCTGTTTGCAGAGCCCAGTCAGTCAGTGCCAACCTTATTCTGGGTGTCATCATAACCCCAGTGATGTACACAGCACCTCACAGCACAGCTCCAAGCACTGACCACAGTCTGTCAGGTGTTGATGTGTAACCTCGTGACTGTAAACCCGGAGGTGCCGTGGGACAAATACAATTTGTGTTTGCCAAGGATCAGGTCATTTTTCCTGCTTTGCCCCCTCTCAAGCTTTAATTACCCCAAAACCTGCAGTTCCCAGAAGACTGGGAAGTTCCCTTCATAGAATAACCAGCACTACACTAAACAAACAGGATGAAAACAATCTCTGCTCCAGTCCTCCTGGTTTATGGAGATGTGCATCATTCAGCACCTCCTGAGCACTCTAACCCCTCTTTCCAGCTCACTTTCAGTTCTTACCCTAATGAGCACCACGTCAGCTGCCTCAATGGCCACGTCAGTGCCCGTGCCAATAGCAATGCCCACGTTGGCCATGGCAAGGGCCGGCGAGTCGTTGATGCCGTCCCCCACCATCGCCACCCGCTTCCCTTCGTCCTGCAGCTGCTTCACTTTGGCCACTTTGTGGGAGGGAAGAACCTCAGCGAACACTTTGGTGATGCCAACCTGAGGAGAGAGAAAGGACGCGACTGTGTTGCAGCTTTTCTAGGCCCTGTTAAAGCTTCCGCCCAGAATAATGCGACAGGCTTCTTGCATTCTCCCTCCCTCCTCATTCCAAATTTTTTTACATTGCCATCTTTCACAACAGACCAGTTCTATGCCAGCCACCAGAATTATCAACGTGCCACAACAAGCCCAGCTTCAAAGCCAGACACAGGAGCACCAGCTCACCTGAGAGGCAATGGATCGGGCTGTTTTGCTGTTGTCACCAGTCATGAGGACAACTTCTAACCCCATGCTCTTCAAAGTGTAGACTGCCAGCTCAGCCTCTGGCTTCACAGTATCAGCAATAGCTATCAAGCCACACAGCACTCCTAAAAACACAGAAGGAAAGTGTTTGTAATGAAGATGTTTACTCCTTTAGAAGGAAACAAAAAAGTAACTTTTTTCCCCCCCAGTAAGACCAGTTCCAAACCCAGTAATATTGACAGCAAAAAGAATGAGAACAGGTATCAGGGCAGCAAGGTTTAAAGCAATACAGACCATGGACTATCCAACCAGAATAAAAAGAATACCTTTTCTCTCCTCTCTTCCCCTTTGCTCTCTTTGAACTCTTTGCTCGTGTCCAACTCTCCTGTCAGCCAAGAAAGGCAAGACAAGGTCTTTCTCACAGCAAAGTGCTGCAAAACTGGTTAATGACCTCTTTTCATCCCACTATTCTGCTTCAGGTATAACTGCTATGACATCCCCAGTTAATAATTCCTATTTATGCGATATTTTCCGTGGCATTCAGTGACAAATGAAGCTCAGAACAAAGCAGCAGCGCTGAACTCACTCACCATCCACAGCTGCCAGGACGGCCGTGCGGCCCCTCCGCTCGTGCTCCATCATGGCCTTATCAACCTCGCTCCTCACCAGGAGCCCGTTCCTGGTCATCCACTCCCGGTTCCCAATGAGAACAGAGTATTTCTGAGCAGTCACAGTGGCTGAAAGAAGAAAAACCACAATCCTACCATCACGTGGATTAACTAAGGAGCTTCCTTTCAGATAATCCCACCCAGGTTCTCTCAGCATGCAGCGAAAGAGCATCGCAGAGAATTCAAACAGAGATGGTTTTCCTAATCCCTCCTGCCCTGCTGAACTCCTCGTGTGTTCTGGATGGGAGAGACACCAATATTTTATCAGTGCTGGGTAGTTACCGTGTCAGAGGACCAAAAATCCCAAGTCAAACAACACTAAAGGACCAAGTCCCCTTCTTAGCCCTTCTAATGTAACAGCCCAATGCAGCTGAAAGAGATCTAACAACGAGCTGTTTGTGAGTGAAAACCACCCAGTTGTGCAAATATACCTAATTTTGGCAAGCATGTGGTAACTTGGGATAAAGTATAGTAAAACCAGAGAGAGCTGACAGACAACTCCTGTATGATTTTCCAGCCCCATATTCAATATGTAACTTGAAATTGTGTTTAATTTAAATGCTCTGAGTGATGTGTGAGCACAAAATAAACTAACGACCAACTAAATAATGTGTGCCTTGATGCCAGCCCAGTTCCTTGGGACAAAAATAAGTGACCTTACTCTGGAGGATCCTAAAGGCACAAAAGCAAAAATTCTTCCTTTTATCCTCTAAAGGAGAATTAACTTACTTGGTAGCTCAGCATCAATAATCAAAGCAGGCTGCACTGATTCATCTGCATTTTCCTCAATTTTCACGAGAGTTGCGTTTTTAATATTGTTTTCTTCAACCATTCTATTTTTCGTGTGGAGTAATGCTTCAATATTGGTGACTTTACAACTAATGCCACAGCCTGGAACTACCTGAAAATCTGTACATGTCCCAAGGGTTTCCAAGTCCAGTTCCTAGAGAGAAAGGATGGAAAGGGAGGAAGTTTTTAAATATATTACAAAAGCACATTGTATTTACAAAGCCCACAAAATAAAGTGCACTCAAACGAACAGGAAGAGGGAACTAATCAATCATCAAAATCTAACTTTGAGCACCCACCTAATATGGTAGGAAGCACTTTATGTGGCCCCACAATTTTCAGCTTTCCCAAATAAATACAGTAAATGCTCCATATGCAAGAATAGCCTTGAGTGATTTATCAAGTGCTGCAAGAGAGGCTCTTCTGGAACACAAACTGCTCCCCTGTACGACTAACTCACCTTTTTGCAGTATTTGGTTATTGCTGCTCCCAGAGGGTGCTCACTGTTACTCTCTGCAGTCCCCACTATTGCCAGCAGTTTATGACGAGGCAGTTGGTTACCCTCCACCAGAAACTTCACCTGCATCACCTCTGGAGTCCCGTGGGTGATGGTCCCTGTTTTGTCAAACACAACCACCTTCACCTGCAGCGCAACGGGGAGATCTGATTCAGTGAAACAAACTTTAAGGTGCAGCTTTTAAAGGACCTTATCGACACAGACCGGTGACCGACACCCCTGACACACACAGAGCGACCCTGCCGGGCCCACCTCAGGATATTCCACTGTCTGCTCCCACAGCAGTTGGCAAACCCCCCCGGAGCGGGCTGGGCAGCCCCTGCAGCGATGCCCCCACCCCTCACCTTGTGTGCCATCTCCAGGGGCTCCCCCCCCTTGATGAGGATGCCGTTCTGGGCCCCCACGCCCGTGCCCACCATGACGGCCGTGGGGGTGGCCAGGCCCAGGGAGCAGGGACAGGCGATGCACAGCACGGTGATGGAGGCCTGGAAGGCGAAGCGGATGATCACCTCTGCCGGGGAGATGCTGGCACTGTAACCCTGCAGAGGGCACAGGGGGCGGTCAGGGACAGGCTGAGCCATAAAAACAACACATTCAACTGCACACTGCCGTGGGGGTGGGGAAAACCTGCACATCTATCAGCTAAACTATTACTATTAAAACTGAAGCGTGGACAAATTATACAAAAGCTCGGAGTAATGAGTAAATCCATGACTAATTAACCAAGTTCTGTTCTATACTGCATATACCCACGACTGTTTTATTTACAGGACATTTTCCTAAACAAGGCACCCCATGCCATAACTTTCACCTCCTGATGTAATAGAAGATACTGTATCAATACAGTAAGGAAGAAAAAACACAACCAGGTATGACATGAAGACTGGTTTCCTGAAAGTAATAAATTCTAATCAGAAGTACTCCTGAACCAAGAGACCTGTGATCTAAGCAACCCTAAAGTCCAGGCTGGGATCCTGACCCTCCTCTGGCATCTGGAATGAAGATGAATTCACACAGAGCTCTGCTAACAGAGCTGGATGCAGACCTGGAGCTTGTGACACAAGGGAATTCTTTTCTCCAGAGAGAAGGGATGGATGGTGGGTAATTTTTGATGTTAGTATCTACATTTTTTTAATTAACTTTTTTTTTTTTTTAAATACTAACTTCCAGGAGTTGATTAATTACTGTGGATTCTTTCTTTAAGTATAAATATAGGAGTGATACAGCATTAAAAAAATACATAATGTAAAACTGTAATAACAAGAACAATAATAGTCAGCAACTGCCTGCAAGGACAATTCAGAAAGGGAACCACTGCGGTCTAACAGAATTGCAAGGCTGTTTTTGAAATATTTCAGAAGGTGTTTAAGGAGATTTACTCACCAGAAAGTACTTTTCCACTATTCCAAAATCCACAAACCCAATTATAATCCAGGCAAGGAGGGTAACCACAGAGATAGCCACAATAAAGGGAACAAAGTAGCCACTAAGTTTGTCTGCAAATTGCTGGATGGGAGCCTGGGAAGGAGAGACAGGTGACTCAGCAGCATCATAGTGACTCCCCTGTGTGCCAGACACACTCACAGCTGCTGCAGCACACTTGGCTTGCCACAGTTTAATTATAATTAGAGATGCCTTCATGAGAGGATGAGGATTGGCACAGGAGCCTCCATCAAATCCTTCCTCAGCAAGAATCTTCCTTATGCAGCTGCAATTCAGATCTAAGCAAACTCAGCCACTCCCCAGGTGATGTGGTGTGCTGATCCCTGATGTGAGTTTGTTGATACTCTACCTTTGAGGTCTGGGCCTCCTCCACGAGTTTCACAATCTGGGACAGGGTGGTGTCCGCTCCCACGTGGGTCGCTGTGATCAGCAGGGACCCGTTCTGGTTGATGGAACCTGCAATAACTGTGTTGCCAGGCTTCTTGGTCACAGGCATCGCCTCACCTGAGGGAGGGGCAACAGCAGACTGCTGAAAAATGGACCTTTGTAACAGCCCCCAACTCCTCATGGGAGGGAGAACGTGAGCTTCACCTTCCCTTCCTCAGGTTTGTCGGAAGGAAAACGTTTTTTACATCTGCAGAAAGCAAATGCTCACCTGTGATGAGAGATTCATCTACCATGGAGTGTCCCTCAATAACACGACCATCCACTGGGAATTTGCCTCCTGGGACCACTTTGACGATGTCACCCCGCTGAACCAGCTCCACATCGACCTGCTCTTCACTGGAATGATGGAAATGTGGTTTAGTAAGAGGTGTAACCGAAGTGACCCAGTGCCAAAGGAGCTGCCACTACTCACAAAGCACAATCCCACTGCTCGACACACTTAATGCATACAAAAATTAACAGAAAAAAAGGCCATTTTAAAGAGGACTATGACTATTTTATCATAATTTTATTTACTTTCCAGTTAAGGAAACCCACTAATTGTCTTATCACAGCAAAAATCAGCAGTAAGTCAATAAACCACATCAGAGCAATGTTAATTCTTCTGCATTTTAGCATTTTTATCTGCCAGCAAATTTGAAGTTATTTGCTTCATGGCTCTATCAAATGGTAACATTTGTCTGCGAATTAAGCATATTAACAGCAAAAAAGGAACAACAGAAAAAGCAAATGCCAAAGCAAGATACCTTAAAAGAACGTTATCAGGGCCCAAGGTAACAATAGTAGCTTCAGTAGCTTGTAATGAAATTAGTCTTGCCAGGGCTTCTGAGGTTTTACCCTAGAATAATAATTTTCATATTTTGCTGACTATACTATTGAAAAAAAAAAAAAAAAAGCTGGGTAAATGACAACTGCACGTGTTGCAATTTACCCTAGTAAGAAAACACAGATGGATAACAAGTCACTTCAGGTTTTTACCGGTTCAGTTACTTAAGATGATTTATACAGCACAGAAGGTTCAAAGAACCCAACAAAGCTTTCTCATGGGACATTGTTTTAAACAGACACGACATCTGGTGGATTTTCATCTTCCTCACCTTTGCCACGTGCTCCAGCCACCGGCCCAGCGAGATGAACACGAACAGCATTGGGGGGGTGTCAAAGAACGTCACAGGGTTCACTTTTGCTTTCTCAGCCATCGCCACCAGCAGAATAATGAAGGAGTAGAGGAAGGCAATGGAGGTGGCCAACACCACGAGCACATCCATGTTGGCAGTGCTGTGTTTCAGTGCCCTGTAGGCCTGGATGTAGAAGTGCCATCCTCCAAACACCTGCAACGGAGGGTGTTTTACACGACTTGTAAAACACACACAGCATTTCCACCAGAGAGGGAGACACAGGAGTGATTTGTGTTCTTTGCCTTCACCACCTCTTCCTGAGCAAACTCCCACCTCCTCCCCGTGGCCACTGGGGTGGCTCAGCAGCTGCCTCAGGTGCTTTTCGGGTGCCCAGCCCCTGGGCACTGACTGCCCTGCCCACCACAGTCTCTGGCACCAATTATTTTGGCAACAGCAAAAGCAGGTAACGACCTCAAAGGCATTTGGCATCAGCATTGGACTCACTTTTCAAATTTACTTCCTTCCCAGCCTTCCAGGTTAAGTGTTTAAGCCCAACAAACCAGGAGTTGTCATAACCCCACTTACCTGTACAGGGACACAGAGCAAAAAGGACAGGAAATTCATAACAGACAATCCTGGCAGGAGCTGGTAATCCAGGACCATGGAGGGGTGAGGGGCCTCCCTCTCCTCACTGCTCATGTTCTGATGTGCGTGAGCATCCGAAGGATGATTGTTCATCACCATCATGTAAATCATCAGCCCCATGACAGGGATGCAGAAAACGAAGCTCACGACAAAAGACCTTTTCCACCTTGGATTGAAAAGGAGAAAGAAAGAAAAAACAACTTGTATTGCAGTCAAGTGCTGGAGAACTTTTCAACCAGCAACTCTGGACAGCCACAAAAAACTCCACAAATTTATGGTTGACTAAAAAAGAAGAATCAAAGATATTTACAGAATCTAAATATGTTCAGGAATACTTACTGCCTGATTTCCTGTTTGTGATCCAGATGACTAGCAGATCTATCCTTTTTGACTAAGGACGTAGTGAAACCTAAATCCTAAGGAAAAAAAAGCGTAACAGAAAAGAGAACAGTCAGTTTTAACATACACTTTGTGGTCAGTTATTGCCAGATTACTGATATGCTGCCAGCCTTACCCTTGTTTACTTTATTAACATTTCTGATACGATAGTTACTATTGTTTAGTTACCTTGCAAAGAGAGAGAAGCAATCTGTTGTAAAAATCAACCTTTCTAGAACAAAATGCTTTTCTAAAATGTGGCTTTCCAAAATGGTTTTTCCTGAAGCACAGACATAAGAGAAATCGAGGCAGAAAGCTGAGAAACATATTTCACCTCTCACCTGCTACAGCACTTAATTTTTAAATGTGATCTATTTTTCTACAAACCCATAGCTGCTATCTCCAACTCTACCACAGCCTGGTTTTTATAGTATTTCTGTTTAAAAGCTTTAGGCCAAGTTGTAACAGAGCATTTCTGAGCCAGAACACAGTATTAGTTACAAACACCTACACTGAGAAGAAAGCAGATGGAAGAAGACAGATCTACTTTTTCACTTTAACAGCCTTCCCTTCTGTTTCTGGGGTGTGTAACTTAGATAGGATAGTGGATATTTTACAAGGCTTGGAGCCTAAATGAATCTCACCTTGATCACTTGTATAACATCTCGAGGACCAACAGCCTCAGGGTCATATTTGATGTGTGCTTTGTTGGTTGCAAGAGCTACCGAGCAGTACAAAACACCACTGGTCTTCATGAGGGTGGATTCTATCTTGTGCACACAAGAGGCACATGTCATGCCTCTCACCTGAAAAACAAAGGTTCCTTCCTGTTATCAAAACCTCAGCTTATCTGGTAAATGCATCTTAAAAAGCAGGAAAAGTCCTTGTGACCGTCCTGCCTTATTTATTGCTTTGTTCTGGGGTTTGAAGAGCTGAGATGGAGCTCTAGTGAAGGATGAGCTTCAGAATCAGAGAACGGTTTGGGTTGGAGGGGATCTTAAAGACCATTTAGTTCCAAGCCCCTGCCATGGGCAGGGATGCCTCCCAAAAATCGTGTTGCTCGGGGGCCCATCCAGCCCTCCTAGAGGAAGCAGAGCAAAGAGACCAGAGTGCTAAGCCCTGCTAAGGCTCTGCTGGCTCTTCAAGCTCAGACCTGGGTCCAGACTCAACTTCAAAAAGTAAATTGTGGCAATAAGAAGAGTAATCAGAAAAATACAGGACTATTTCTCTGCCTTCAGTGTAGCAGCAGTGAGCCAGCAGAGTCTGCAGGACCAGACAGTATTTGTGAGACAGACCTGAGGTACTCTGATATTCTTTTCCTGAATTAAGCTCTATTACGTGATTAAACTTCAGCAAGTGGAACACTTGCACAATAGATAAAAGCGACAGAAGCCGAGGGTGTGGGGTTTTAATCACTAACTTACAACGAGCTCCAGAACTCCATCTCCTTCCCCGCAGTTTTCCATCACGGTGGCTCCAAAGCCCAGCTCCCGGATGAGCTCTGCGATGGCTGACGGGTGTGTGACAGCAGGGTTGTACCTCACCTCTGCCTTCCCTGCCATCAGGGCCACAAGGATCGAGTGGATTCCTGGGCAACAAAAATGTGTGAGCAACAGATCAGGCTCAAGAAAAATCCTGCGCTTATGGTAACATGAGGGCACGACACAAGATGAAACTGGGAAAGGTACCGTGTTGTAAATAAAGCAAAACATGCTGATTTTTGGAAGATAAACCAACAACACAACCAGAGCACCTCAGTGTAGGTGTGACAGATAAAAGCATGAAAGGCATGTTTCTAACAGTCTAATTACAAACATTCTGTCCATGCTATATGAAAAAAAGATGATCTATTTTTACTGCAAAGAAGTTCTTCTAAAATACAGCGCTGTATCTTTTCCTGATCTGCATTTACTATTTCTAGAAGCCTTTTCTTCAAGGCAGAACAAGCAGGAGAAAGGGCAGGGCTAACAGTCAGTCCTATCGTATACTGAAATAATTAAAATCCAGGTCAACCTGGAATACATCCACCTTCATTACAATAATTAAACACAGTCTGCATTAATGACTGTTTGCTACATCACAGTCATGCAGCCGTTTGTTTAATCAGACAGGCATGTCCTGACTGCCAGAGCTAAAATTAACTTGTGTCTCTTTAATCCACACTAATACTGTCCCTCTCTAATAACTCCCTCCCCAGCACACACAGAGCTGGAACGCACACCTGGGCACCTCCCTCCAGTAGGAAAGATTTGTTTTCCTTTCCAAAGGATCTGTATTTGATCCCTACCCTCTCTGGAGCGCTCAGGTGCTGTTTTTGGGAGGGCACTCCCTGGCCAGCATGTCCATAAAGCAGCAGGAACGACCCTGTTCCCATCCTGTGGGCTGGAGGTGAGCAGTTCTCCCTCCTGGAACACCTGCAGTGCCCTTCTCCTGACAGCCCAGCCACCAAAAGTGCTGTGCAAAAGCCAGATGGATTCTCCCAAACAAACAGAAGTGTAACAGCTGGCACTGACACACATCTTACCATCTTCCCTCCTCAGGTTCCTCTCGATGTTGGCCACGCACGAAGCACACGTCATTCCTGTCACCTGCACGTAGCACTTGGAGAGGGTCTTCGTGTCCTGCCTCCCGAGCTGGGCTGGGGGCACTTTGGAGGAGGGGTCAGGTCTGTGAGAGTCCAGCTGTGCTTCAGGTGAGGGCTGAGCTCTGGCCACAGGCACTTCTGCCTTCGCTGGAAAGGAGATTGCAGGTCATGACCACGTGAGCAGCCACCGCAGTGAGGTGTGAGCTGCAACTACAGACTGCTCTGCATTTACACTGAAAATGGAAACTGCAGTGCCTTGTCAATCAGATCCATCCACCTGTCTGTCAGTGGAGAGTCAGCAACAGAAATCAAGACAAAGGGTTGGGCCACTGATTAACTCATTGTTTTGTTACTGTTTTTCCTCTTGCCTTTCTTCATCGTCTCTGTTCTGTTACACATCCTTTGTCCTCTTCTCTAGGCTGTCAGTGGAATGTCTGCACTGCAACCTTAGTTTTACCCACAATTTTATTGAGTTTACCTGGAGCACAAAGCTGAATCTGTAAGCAAGTGCATGTTTCATAAGCAAAGTCGGTGATTTTGACCTCTGGAACTCCAGACATCTGTTCCTTACAGAATTCAGGGAATGCTGTGTCTGTGCAGGAGCAGGGCAAAAGGAATTAAATGGGAGCACCCAACCACTTCTTCAGCTACTGCCATAGAACAGCTCATGTACTGTATTTATTGATATTTAATCTTACTGGATCAACAAGTGGAGCTTCCCTGTTCCCTCGGGAAGCCTCTCTTCCCATTCGTGTTTGCTGGAGGTGGGGGTGAGAATTTGGGTTGGGCACACCTAGGACAGCCAACCCACACAGATGGACAAACACCTGCCTGCCCACGGGAAGGAGTTAACTAATTCCTTGCTTTGCTTGCAGGGGTAACTTTTGCTTTACCTGGTAAACTTATATTTATCTAATCCATAACGTTTTCCTCTTATACCCTTCTCTTCCCCCTCCCCTCATGGGTGGTTGGTGCTGAGCTGCTGACCAGGGTTCTCCCACAGCATCATCATTTTAACATTCTCACTGATGACCACTCTCTTCAGACTCCTCAGTCATGCCTGAGCCTGGTTAAATTTCCCTTCACTAGTTAGTCCACAGGAGCCAAGACTTAAATAATTCAATATTAAAGAAACTTCAGCACAGCAATCCAAATTATTCTTCACAGCTAGCAAAGCTACAATTCCATATTCATGCCATGAATATTGTAGAGCAGCAAACAGGAACTGTATTTGAACACAAATATTTATCTGACATTTATACTTCCAGGCATCTCAATCATTTTAATTAATCTGATGTATTAAAGGCTGTGCATGGATCTCTAATTATCTCATTGGCAGAAAAGACAGAAAGCTTCACTTGGCAAGCACAAAGTGTGTGTCAGCTGCTGAATTTCATCTTAAGTTGTACCCAAGGCTGAAAAAAATCCAGACAAGCCTTTTGAATTTCCAAGTTTAATATGTCATTACCTGGCAGAGATGCATCGAATCCCATGTCCTCTATCGAGGACCGCAGCTCCTCCGGGCTTGTCTGCAGGGGGTCATATTCTATGGTCCCACTGCCATCGGAGAGGGACACACGGACACATTTCACACCTGGCTTTTGGGATATGACTCCCTCGATGGACTGCACACAAGAGCTGCAGGTCATCCCCTCAATATTGACCACCACGACCTGAGTGAGTGGCTGGCTGGGATCCTTCAGAGCCGGCTGAGGTTTCAGGGGAGACGCCAGCGTGGGGATAAGTGTCAGACTGTCGTGCTCCTCGGGAAGGCTGACTTTGAACCTCTCAGGAGACACGGCCTCTATGGCTTCCCTCAGCCTGTCTACGCTGATTAGGTTTGGGTTATAGTTGATAACAGCAGATTTCTTCTCCAATGAAACGACGACACCTGTTACCGCCGGGAGTGCTGAGACGGCGCCCTGGATGTTGAGGACACAGGAATTGCTGTGCATCCCATCGACCCTGAACACAACTGTCGTGGTCCCAGTGCCACTGCAGGGTTCCCTCTGTGCTGCCTCAGGGCCTTTGGGCTGGGCGTTCCTCAGCCTCTCCAGGTCAGCTGTGCTGAGCTTCAGGGCTCTGGGCTGCTTCTTGAAGGATGCCGTGAAACCCGCTGCTTCAATCTGCTGTTTTATTTCTTCTGCTGTGATCAGGTGAGGCTGGTAGATAACAACAGCTTCCTGATTGTCCAGAGACACTGGAATTGAAGAAATAAATGAACAGAAGTGTGTGTTACTGCTCTAAACATAACAAGCACACCAACAGGTCTTGGCAAGGCTTTCCAAGAACACTTGAAATGGTCAGAGAAGCAAATGCAACAAAGGAGATTCCATTGGTTTGGTAAATATCAAACAGCTTAGTTCTTCAACCATTTTTTGTCTAGTACTACAACAATTTTCAACTCCTCTTTTCCTCAGTTTTTTGCTCTTTCCCAAGGACTTCCACAAATGGCATCAGTACTTCTTATTAAATTTATCCTTTTATTAGGTCCTGTGGCAATATGTTAATGCCAAAGCTAATTATACAGATAAATTGATCTTGCATTTTAGATACAATTATATACATGACAATAAAAATTTTTAGTTTAACAGAAAAGATAAACTAACATCAATTAAAACATAAAAACAACATCCTGTGTTAGAGGTTTCTATAACTGGTAATGAAGTTATGGAGCACAACTATTCCAGGCTCCCAACCAAGATACAAAGCAACCACTGGATACTGTCTGTCACACATGTAACAGCAACGGCCTCCCCACAATTTGGGCCCGTTTCCTCACTTCTAGTTCAAATCAAACGTGATGAAATACCCAGCACCACAAACACTCACGCACTCAGCTCTCCCACATCTCCACAATGCCACTGAAGGACAGCATGGCCAAATTACATGAAGGCACACCAAGGTTTTACCTCTAACCCGCTGAATTCCTTGCAGTTTTCCGAGCCTGCCCTCGATGGTGCTGGTGCAGGAGTGACAGGTCATCCCATCCACCTTCAGGCGCAGCACAGCACTGCTGGCCTGAGACCAGCCGGAGTCCTCCCGAGTTCCAGGGCTCCCCTCTGCTGCAGAGATGTTTAAATCTGCTCCTGGCACCATCTGGATAATCTGCCTGCCGTTTATGATGGAAGAAATGAAAGTCACCACGGCGGTTTTTTGGTCAGAGGAGACTTTCACGTCCAGGATGCCTTTGTTGTTCAGCAGCGTGGCACAGATCTGCCTGGGAGTCAGGGCCGACCGGGGAGGGATGCTGAGGAAAACAGTGTCAGTTAAGACAGGCTGTGGGTTTGGGTCAGCCAGTGCAGCATCAAATCCCATGTCATAGATGGCTTCCTGCAGGCTCGCTGGAGTCTGGAGCTTGGAGTCGTAAATGACGACGGCATTCTTATCCTCCAGGGAGACCTTGGGAGGCAACAGACACAACAATTGACCAAACTGCAAGACAGAGAATCACTACGACTGCATGAGACTTTTTACTTGCAAAAATTAGCAGCACTTGTCCAGCATAGCTTTACTCCTCACTCCCCACCTGGAGGAGCAAAGCCACACCAGCAGCCACTGAGTGACTTCTGTGCAACAGCCGGGCTGGAAGGAAGAGATGCCAGCCCTTACCCCCTGTTTCACAATCCTCTCCAAGTCCGTCTGGCCACTTTCACTTACGACATCCAGACAGCCCCAACGCATTTAATGAAACTTCCAGAGCCAAATCCTCCTGAATGATGATGATTAACCCAAAAGAGCCCACAGAAAAAATTCAAATCAGTTTGCAGCAATTCTAATGCAGTTAGCAGTAATTACCCTCAGGCTACGAGGATGGAAGCAAACACTCCTGGAAAAAAAACCACAGCTCTAAGTGGCAGTGCAAGGAGCCCAGCATTTCCAGGCATGGGAGGCACAGGCTGGTAACTTGCTGTGAGCAAAAACCTGCACCAGACTTCACTGAACAAAATTCGATTTGGAAGCCTGATAGACGAAGCTTTTTTTCCTCTCTCTGTACATTTTGGTGATCCAGGGACATCCTGATTTGGTATTAACCTTTCCCAGTAGATGGTACAAATATCCTCAATTTAATTTTCTCCCAAGGGATGATAAATCAAATATAATAATTGCAGTTTCCAAAAGGAAAAAAACGAAGCCTGCCAGAGGCCCAACACATTGCCAATTCAATTCTGTCCTTCCTCTGGGCAGAGCTACAACCTAAAGATCACAGTCATGATGAAATTAAATCAGTTAAATACTTTTAAGAACCACCTCTCCTCATTTCTGTCCCAATTATGGGCCCTTGCAGGATTAGCAACGTGGACATTTATTGGTTCCATTGCAGTTGGAGGCGAAATAATCTGAGCAGCTGTTTGTCTGTATTAGCCATCTAACATTCCCACCCCTTGCTGACCTGACTCATAATCACTAAACAAAACCCTGTTTTAGTGTTCTCAGAGAATTTTCTGAGTCAAATGATGACTGAACCGTAGCTCTGATGCTGTAAAAAGGATCATTACTAAATATGTCCTCTTAACGTTTCTCAGAGTCCTGTTCTACTCAGGCTACATTTCTGTAATACAGTTTTTGAAACAGTATTCAGCTTTGGGAATTTACCTTAAAACCTAAATACAAAACTCTTAATATTGTCCTTTTAAAAATCTGCCTCATTCCTCATGTAAAAGACAGTATGGGATGCACATTGTCTTGAATTAAGTAAATTAGAAATCTCTCCTCCCTCTTCTACCTGAAGTCAACTGTACATTCTCAGAAATAGCTGAGAAAACACAAGGCTGACGAGATGACATTTTTTGCTAGAAAAATGAGAAAGGGAGGATTCTGAAATCCAGTTATCTGGGGTTATTTTACAGGCTGCTTTTGGCCTCCATCTGACTCCAGTGACCAGTCTCACCACGCACAGTTCAGTGCCCCAAGGTCCTGGTGTCAGAGCACAGACTCCCATCAAAGCTCCACTGCAGTGGAAGGAAGATGGGAAATTATGTGTCCTGTCAATATTGCTGCTCTTCACCAACATTCCCACGTGTGCACAGCAACATCTGCGTCAGGCAAAAGGAATTTCACTGAACCACTGCACCTCCTGCCTCTGCAGGGAAAGTGCACCAACAATGAGCCCTTCAAAACCAGCTACAGGTGATGATCACATGCACCCCAAATAAGGACAATGGGCCCAGTTCTGAGAAGGAAAGTGTTTGTTAAAGGCATTTCTACTAAAATAGAAATTAACTTTTGATGAAACCAGGAAGGTACTGCTTTCTTTGGAGTAAAATCCACCACTAGTACAGCACGATTTCAGAACACAGCTACTCAATAATTAAACTTCGCAGTTTTCTGTTGCTGATATTGAAAAGACTGTTCTTTCTACCACAGACTGGGTCACAAAATTAATAGCAGTCTCCCAGTTTTTCAATTGTTTCCATTAATAAATCTACTATGAAATTATGTACTGTACAGGGATGATCAGCTCACCCTGGAACACTCTACAGTTCACTGTTTTGCCCAAGACCGAAACAACACTAACAAAATACTGATCTCTCCTCCCAGCTAAGAGAAAAAGTTATAATCAAGGCAGGCCAAGGAAACCTGGATTTTGTGAGCAGTTCAGGATTACAGTTCTGCTGCCCTTTCTCTCATTTCCTCAAGGACAGTACAAAGGAAAGGAAACTTCTGATGCTTGAAAGACCTGTCAAGACTTTCCTATGTTACCTGGATTTCCTGCCACTCCTATTTCATGGATCACAACAGAAGAGGGTTTTTTTCATGGTGAGTCAACTACCCCACAATTACCTGGACACCTCAAGCCCACAAACACTTTTGAACCTGTGCAAGTGACCTCAGTGCCCCATCAGCTGGACAGAAAAGGCTTCTGAGCAAATACTGACATTTGTGCAGCACAAGGGACAAGGACAGCTCCCTTTTTTCACCAGTGCAAGTTCTTAGGCTTTTGCTTTATTTTATTTTAAAGTTTATTGTTCTTGCCTCTTACCTTTTTTTTTTTCACTTTACTCCACAATACTGAATTAACTGTAAAGCAGAAAATTAATTAAGAGCAGCAGATAATGACTTAGCTCCCACTGCAGGTAAGTAAGCACTTGTTTTTTTGTTATATTACCAGAACTCCACTAATGGATCTCCAACACCAGCTTCCCCTGAAACATTCAGAATACACTCTTCCCACATTATTTTCCTCCCTTGGTGCAAAATTTATCGTGGTTTCCCATACAAGGACAAAGCTTTGTAAGAAACAGTGACATCATTACTTACTTTAATGTTATGGATTCCATCCATCTTCCCCACGTGCTGCTCGATGGTCTGAACACAGGAACTGCAGGTCATCCCCTCCACGCCAATGACCACGGATTGGGCCTCCATTGTCAATTCCTACTCAAGTCTTCTCATTGCTGGTGGCTTAAAAACAAGGAAGACTCTGGTTCTTAAATCACCTCACAAGGACTGAAATGAAAACAGGGATGTAGTGGAAGGCGTGCCCATGGCAGGGACTGGAATGAGTTTTAAGGTCCCTTCCAACCCAAACCACTCCACGAGTCTGTGATTTAACAAATGTCACACTGAGCCACAAGGAACTCGAGTAGATATTAAAATATGAGCAAAGCTGTACAGGGAGATACTCTGAAGAGTATCATTATAATGTCAGTCATAAAAACATGCCCAGAAAAAATTACTGAACCTAAGTGAAATTAATTTGGAGAGATAACAGCCATTGCAAAGGATTCCTTTTGCTAAATGAATAAACCCTTTAGTGACTGAGGGGAAAAGAGGGCAAAAGAAGTGATTTTCAGATTTTTTTCTTAACATTTCGAAAATCTGCATTATTTTTCCAATGACAGAGAGGTTAGTGACCAGGAAAATGATCCCACTTAATGTCTGGCTGCAGTGGAAGCAGCAAAATGTGATGACTAACTGAAGAGCTGAAGTTAAGACCTGCTTAACTCATTTTGCTTATCCTGAAGGCCTATCTTGGAAAACTAAATTACATTAACAACGTTGGGTAAAATTAGTTTTCTTGCTTCTTGGAGACATTTCCAAGCTGTTCCCTGTTACAGAAGGTCTGGAAGTTTCTGGTTTCACTTCGAGTTGTTACAAACCATGTAAGAACACGAGAAGTTTCATCATAGGAACAGGTTTTACCTCCCTGATGCACAAAACTAAATGTTGAAACTTAATTAACAAGAAGCAAAGACAGTATAAAACTGGGAATTAGTGACTTTTCCAACAGATGAAATCCATCTCAACCCTGCCAAGAACAGAAATAAGACAAGCACACCTGAAGAGTTATTACAGATCTCACCTCTCACACACACAAGTGTTTGTATGCAAATATTCACACATTACAGGCACCCAGAACTGTCACCTGACACAGGAATTATCAATCAGCAGAAGTGTGTATTTTAAGCAAGCTTGATATAGCAGGTTCTTTCTCAGACTCGTCTGCACGCTTGGAGGTACCTTAAACAACTCTGTAAGTCACCCAAGGAAACACCTGCTTTGTGTCCCGGTGCAATGGGATCCTCCCTGATGACCTCAGCTCTTCCCTAAGGAATGCTCAGTCCTCACAGAGCAAACAAAGACGTTGTTGTAACCCCACAGTCTGGGAGCAGCCCGATATTCCCCCAGGCCTGAAGTGCAAATAAAGTCACAAGAAGTCCTTGACTTACAGTGCACTCTGTGAGCACAACCAGGCACCCAGAACTGATTAAAATGGGCCACAACAGACAATCACAGACAGAGACCACCTGTCCTCCAGTCAGGTCTGGACAGACAGGAGTTTGAAAGCATTTCAGGGACAGCATCAACCTGTACTGCCCTGACAACCTGCACAACCGCTGTATCTGGAAAACAAAAATAAGGAAATGCTTTAGCTGTGAGCTGCCATCTAAAACAATCAAAGGTTGGCAACATGCTGCCTTAGAAGTGGGAAACAGCTCTAAGTCAGAGCGTGCTGACTTGCCTGTTCTTAGGCAAACTACAGTACAGAAATATCCATTTTTACAGAAACTAGGATATGTGTTAAAGAAACAGCAGCCTGTGAAACTGTGGCCAGTGAACCAGCACTGTTGAAGGGACTGCATTAACCATCAGCACTGCTACCAAATGCCCACCGATGCATTAAAACCCCAATTGCTTATATATGTGAAAATAACATTAGGCTTCTTTCCTATCTATTATTATTATGGTTTGTATGCATAAAGTATTTCCTCCATTTTCTCAATCTGCTTCCTTGCCCTTCTGCTGCTCGTTCATAAACACAGCAGAGAATATCCTGTCCTGGAAGAGACTGTAATTCAAACATGCAAAAAGCATAAAGACATAAGGAAAGAGAAAGAAAAAAAAAAAAAAAGGCAAATTTCTTTTTTCTTTTTTGCCCCTCAAGGCCCCAGAATACTAGGACTGAATTCAGAGCTTCCATCAACAGAATTCATCAGTTGGACCAAACTGTCTCTTCTTTTTGTTGTCTGGCTCTCAGTTAGGAAACACCCTGGACCTCTGTGACATGAGCATCACTCACAGCTCTCTGCTGCTGGGGAATACAACCAACAAGGACTTTTATTTACATGCTTGCAAGTTGCTAACAGTTTTTATATAATTTTAAAAACAGGCTGTTCTCTTAAAAAATGAGATGTGTCCAAGCGTAAATAAGCCATTTGAGAGCATTACTGCCTCTTCACATCAGTCACATTATATTATTAACTCTGAATTAAGAACCAGCTCGTTAACAGTCTCAATTTTCTGTACAGCCTCACTGACATTTCTGAATTCATTGTCTGAATTTCCAGTGCTCCTGATGCTTCAAAGAAATCTTGTTCTCAGAACAAAGCACAGGGTTTACACGGCGACTCTGAGAACACACAATCCTTTTTCCTCCCCTTACAGAATGCCCAGGACAGGCAGTTAAATACACATTTACACAGCTCAGACAGTACCTTGTCATGTTCCATTCCAATTCTAACGCTCTGCCTCCCTCACAAGTGCTTCCTGGTAAAAATACTTCAGCTGTAACTTGAAAGAAATATTTTGTGTCATATTTCCTCCTCCTGACAGCATGAAATGAAGAAAATTCAAAACTAAGCAGGCTGAAAAATCTCTGTTGCACCAATAAATTAGGACTAGATGCACACAAGAGGTGTATGAATAACAATTTAATCCTGGTTTTCTTTTTTCTCTTGTCATCCATCACTCCATCTGTGTGATTCCTCACTCCATTTGTTATACATATAAATACACACAGATATATATATATATTAATTATCTCAAAAGAGAACCCCATCCTACAAAGTCCAGTTATGGTTCTGGCAGATGCAGCTGAAACAGCCAACAAACTTCTGCAACACCCAAAAAGCTCTGCAGGTGCTGAGAAATATTTTAAAAGTTGACCAAAGATCTCAGCAATTACCACTGACTTCATGGCAAATGACTGCCAATAAATAAATTTAAATAAAGTTATCATGGATATATCCTTTTAAGTTAGTGTTCTGTTCTGGGATCAGCAGGGACACGGAAGGTTGAGGGTCCACAGCCAGCCTTCACCAAGGTTCTCTGCCTGACATTATATTTTATGGTTTCAGATGTAATTTATAGCTGCTGAAACTTAAAGAGGTAAATACGACACAAACACCAGAAACAGAAGCTGCCAGGTTTAATGACAGCCTTTGGATTTTATTAAATTTCCAAATGGCCAGGTGCTATCAGCTGGCTGCATTAACGGCAGCAGAAAGCTAAATCACTAATTACAGTAGATGGAAAAAGGTGCCTGTCCCCAGAGGTGTGCAGGGACCTGGGGAAAAGAGCAAAGGGCAGCAAGAAAGGAAAAAGCTGCATCACCTCACCTTTGGGCTTAAAAAGCGCTTCAGAAGACAGCACCCAGCACAGAAGGAGCTTTTATAGGGTTCATGGGCAAACAGAGCCACTTAAAGCACAGCCAGATAGGAGATATACTGGAAAATCTCGTGGATATACGAGGTTTAATCATTGAGAGAGAAACTGTGCATCTGCAATGAATGTCAGAGCTACGTGACACTCTAAACAGGCTGCAATTCACGTTGCTCAAGACTCTTAACGAGCCTTGCTTGGTCAGCAGACGATGGAAATTGCTCTCGGGATTTATTTCTATACAAACTGCACGGGGAAAAAAAAAGTACATATTGAAAGCATTCTGCTTCATTTCTAACAGGAGTATTATAGGACTTGAGACAAATCCTTTGCAAATCCTTTTACTTTTTTGTGAGCTTCCACTACCTCTTCAAGTCAGATTTTTGGAGAACATGAATGTTCCCTGGGAAGTATTAGGAACAGAATATAATGTACAAGCTATTATTATGTGAACATACCAAGGCCAACTAGGGCTCCTCACTCTTCAGCTTGGTCTCAAATTACTTGGCAGAACAACGTGAAATGCATTATACAAGTGAAAATAAGAATAAAACAGCAAATGACATGCAATGCTGACTTCTGCTTCCCTGATTTGCCACCTTGGAAGTAAAAGGCCTTCATGACTTTCCTCTATAAGGAAATACACTATAATATAATTAATTTCTATTCAAATTGTGCTTGCACTCACACAGTAGTGCATTGTAATACACACAACTACCTCCCACGTTACCAAATCTTGGCCTATTTACATCCAGAAACGCAGTTTGACAAGTATTTAAGTACAGAAATACAATCTTTGCTGACTGCATGAAAGATTTTAAGCAACCTTCCACTAATTACGTGCAATTTCCAGAATATGCACACAGAGAAGCACCAGTTAAAGCTGTTTTGCTCTTGCTCGTTTTCTCAAGATTTTACCCCAAAGCATCACAGACAACTTTCTGCCCTTTCCCAGAACATTTATACTGTGTTTGTAACGAAAACGCTGGAAAGGAGGGACTTGTGCACAGAGCGCTGCCATCATAAGGTGGCACAAGGCGACACGAGGCAAGACGCTAAGTCAGATGTGTCAGAGGGACGAGCTGAGCAGCTCGGAAGCGGTAAAAAGGCTCCGTGTGCCTCCGCATTCCCGACCAGGCTTTCTCTGCAGACTGACAACGGGGCCCTTTCCGAAGCTCCAGAGAGCACATTCTTTCGTCCCAAGGAGAAGGGAAGGTGGGTGCTCCCTGCCAAGCAGAGCCCGCCGGGAACACCGGGCTGAGCAGGACACTCCGCTCCGGGATGGGGTCACCCGAGACCCTCACACCGCCCACGGCCCCTCCGCGGGGCTGGACAGACCCTGCCCGAGCCAAGGGCTTTTGGGGCCCGGACCCTCCCCGGGACCATCTCCCTCCCCCCCACCCCCTATCCCGGCACTGCGTCCTGCCCGCGGGAGCGCCGGGAGAACCTCCCCGGGACAGCGGGATATTCCCCCGGGCCGGCCCATACTCCCTGGGACACTGGGCTATCACCGCACGGTCCGTACTCCCCAGGGCAGCGGGATTTCACCCCATGGTCCGCACTCACCGGGATCTCTCTTCCTCTCTCCCCAGCCCCGCTCGCCGCTCCCGGCCCGGGCCCCGCCGGGCCCTCGCCCCGCCCCGCTCACGTGAGGCGCGGGCCACGTGACGGCGGAGGGCGGGGCGGCGCCGCCGCAGCCGCGACAGCGATAGCTGTTGCTCTATCGCGACAGGCCCCGCGGGACAAACGCGTGCCGCTGCTGCTCACAGCCCTGACGGGGCCCCGGCCAGGAGGGCTCAGCAGGGGCGGCAGCGCTCGGCGAGGCGCCCCCGTTAGAGTCTCCGAGGAGCGAACGCCGCCGTTCCACACATCCCTGCGGGATGGAAACCAGCACCCCGCTGCTCTTCAGGGATTCAGGCTGAGTCGGAGGTTTAGAGTTTGCATACACGTCAAATTTCCTAACAAATCTTGAGTGCCCTGGAATTCCCGGGAAGTGCCCAAGGCCAGGCTGGACGGGGCTTGGAGCAACCTGGCATAGTGGAAGGTGTCCCTGCCCAAGGCAGGGGGTGGGACTGGATGGTCTCTCGGGTGCCTTCCAACCCAAACCATCCTGTGATTCTCTGACAATCAAATACCAGCATGAACCAGTAACTGTTGTTTTTCCACCTCGTTTCTCTAATAACTTTGACCCTACACATAAGTTAAATGCAGAGGCAGGGGGCTGGAACAAGATGGGCTTCCAGGTCCCTTCCACCCCAAGCCAGTCTGTGATTCCATTAAGCGTTCACCAGGAAAGTCACGTTTCTCCCAACTGCCTCTTTCTGAGGAGCCTGACTCACACTTGAATTTAGTTTCTTCACAACTCAGAGGCCGCAGAGAAATGCAATTATTGGCAGAGTGATTGAAGACATAAGAACTCTTTTGTGGAAAAAAAGGGGGTCTCAGCTTTGTCATTACAAGTCAGAGGTAAAAGGATGTGCACTCTGCAGGAGGAGTGCAGTGAGGTTGATTTACACACACATCTGGCCACGGGGCCACCTCAGCAAAGTTCTGGATTTGTTCTTAATCCACCAGTGAACTTTACAGGCACGACTGGGACTACCTAAAGTACTTCCAATTTTTACACTGTTTCTTATACTTCAGCAGACTCTGAGCACAGAGGAAACCCAGAAGAGCCAGACACATTTCTAGGTATGTTTATTAGACCAGGAATGCCACTGCACAAGTGGTAATCAGGGAACAAATGCCATTACAGGACCGTTTTCTCAGTGAAAGTTCAGACCAGTTCATTAGAAGCAGAGGCTGTTACTCCCTCCATTCTCTTGGAGTGATTTTGCCAACAGGTGACAAGCCCCACTCAATTCCAAGCTGTGTTAGCACCTGTAAGAGCATAAAACCCAAGATTACTAACTCTGAAGTCAAGGAAACCTTCCAATAGAGGGCTATTTCTATTGTTTTCAGTTTAGATTTCTTCTATTAGAACATGACATCTCAATTTTCTAATAAAGCATGTGGAATATATTTATATTAAACAGTATTTAAATATTTCAGCTTTCTATTTCTAAATACCCACTTTTAGAACAAAGAATGTGGAATTTAAAATCACCATACGGGCATGTTAATCTAGAAATTTTTCTGCTAAAACCCGTACCTGTATGGGTTAGATATCCCAAGTAGAACAGAGATCACTTGTGTTTCTCAGACATTTTCAAATCAGGCAGTAGACTGACACAGAAATTCGTGTAACAACTCAAAATCAAGACATGAACTAAGACAACTTTCACCTCTATCACATCCCTATTCACTTACAGAAGCAGCTCCTGAATTCTGACCACTTAAGTTTTTCAAACAAGCAAGCCTTCGTGACGCTTGACACCTTTAAAGTTCCCAGCTGGAGTGACAACTGACCAGTGAAAAAACCAACTTACATATCCCCAGACAGTGGTGAAAACGGCAGCTCCACCAAGGAGGACCAAGTTGCCATATTTATCATGGAAGTTCGGCTCGTGCTTGCGATGAGCTTGTCTGACTGCAGTGTGCTGGATGCCACGAGCTAGGGAATGTTAAAGACAGGCACAGGAACCAACTGAAACACACGCTCAAACTATTCACAGTCCTTGTTTTCCACCAACAGAGAAAAAAGCATTAGCATTAAAAGACTAAAAAAAGCTGAAAAAAATTTAATCTTTTGGACTTAGAACTGTGGAATGGCTCCAAAACAAAGGATATGCGCAAATCCTTTTTTTTTTTTTTTTAACTCTCTCAATTTCTCACTAGAAAGTTATTCTTTAAGACTAATTCCAGTAAAAAAATAAAATCCCGTGAGTTATCTTTTTCATCGATGAGTTCTGTTTGGGCCTTCCGTGTGGAAGTACCCTTTTAAATATTACCGTTTCTCTCATAAAATATTTTGCTTAGTATATAGCGTTTTCAGATTTCCATATATATATACATTTATCCTGTCAGTAGGGGTACTAATGTAAGCATTTTCAGCATGAAGTTCACCATCAAATTAGGGGGTTGAAGATAGCAGGTATGGGTAACACCTTCCTCATTCTTTCAGGATTTTTTAAAGTAGGGGAGGGAGGTAAAGAAAGAAGGGGAAATAACTGCGGACATGAAATAAGTAACAGAGAATAAAATACAAAAAGGCATCTTCAGATGATGTATATTATAAATGTACACTATAAAGGCTACATTTATTAAGGAGAAGACAACAGTGAAGAATCAAACCAGCAACAAAACAGAGAGATTGTTTATAATTGAGTACAAGGCCTCTGATGAGAGTGATGTGCGTAAATACAGACTTTACAAACTATAATCTTTTAGTTCCAGGTCAGTGGTCTGCATTGACCCAGCCACGAACAAAGGAGATGATGGCAATACTCGTTATGTTATTACAGCCCTCTGCGAGGCTGCACAAGGGTTTTTTAAAACATAAAAAAGCTTGAATATCTACCGAGACACGTTTACTTTAAGTGCAAGCACCTCGGGCTAAGCACATCACGAACCAGGCCCAGATTTTAGAGGACCAGGTTAAGCACTGGGGAATCTCCATTATCGAAGAAGTAACTTTAACCTTGAGTTTAAGGTATAGGCATTGACTATGTCACCTCAGGTTACAAGATCGGATGTGCCTTCAGTTACAAGGAAAAAAAAAAAAATAAGAGCCGAGAAAGGGAATCCAAGGTCAAAAAGCAATTAGGAGATTAAAGAGTCAGAAAAGAAAAAAAATAAAGGCAGGAGGCGAAGGACGCCAGAGCCGCCCGAGCGCCTGGGATGCCCTCACGACCCTCCCGGGAGCGCAGCGAGCCGGGGGCTGTGAGGGACAGACCTGACAGGGAAGGGCACAGACCTGACTGGGAAGGGCACAGATCCGGGAGAAACCCCCCTGCAGGACCCCCCGCCCCCCCAGAGCCATCCCCGTCCTTACCGGCGAGGTTGAGCGCGGCCCTGGCCACGGGGAGCATGGTGCGAGCGGAGCGCGTACCCTTCACGGCGCTCAAGAACAAAATGGTCGCGGCGGAAGTGGCGGCGGGCGGGGGCCTGTGGGTAACGCCGAGCTCCTCCTCGCTGCGGCCGCCGCTCCGCGGCCGCGGCACAGAGCGGGGTCACCCGGCGGCTCCCCGGCACCTCCCCGGCACGGACGGGCCCTCCGTGAGAGCTCAGAGGATGCAGCAGCAGGCGCGGCCCTGACAAGGCGGGTAAGGGTGTCCCAGCCGGCGGTGCTGCCGCAGTGTCAGGATGGCCGAGTGGTCTAAGGCGCCAGACTCAAGGCGTGCCGCGCCTTCCCGCCGCGGGTTTGGGTGTTCTGGTCTCCGTATGGAGGCGTGGGTTCGAATCCCACTTCTGACACCACTTTTTCATTTTCCCCGTTTTTTAGAATGAGTGAATTTAAACGCGCGAAAGGGCTGAGCTGCTAGCGCCAAGGATTTTAGTGCGAACAGAAATCAGAAATCGTTTTCAGACTGTGCTCGAACAGACGAATAAAACCCGAAGCGTGAGTAAATCGCCATCTGTCTGTGGCGATTTTGTTTCAGAGCCATAACCCACCACATACCAGCTGAGGAATACCCTAGCCCGGTTACAATTTTAACAATATTTGTCACACAACCCAGCAAATACATGCACCTATAAGATTAAGGAAGCGCATGCCTTTGGGGGAGCTACTAATTAAGTTTTTTTGAGTTTTATTCAATATTTCTTTTCTGGTCTTGGTTTTTTTTTTTTTTTTTTTTGGAGTGTGCCCTCCAGCCCCTCACCACAGTGCTGGGGCCCCGGGCAGCCTGAGCAGCAGTTTGTGTGTTTAAAGAGCCACGGGGGCTGCTGAGGAAAGCCGGGCTGTACTCTCCTGGTAAGGGAACTCCTCAGAGCAGGAGCTACTGGCAGTAGACCTGCAAAGACCACAAAGATAATGAGGGTCTGGATCATCTCCCTGATGAGGAGAGACTGTGGGAGCTGGGTTTGGGTAGTCCAGAGAAGACTAAGAGGGGATTTCATTAATCCATATAAATATCTCCAAGGTGGATGCCAAGAGGATGGTACTGGACTCCTTTTGGAAGGATGAGGAGCAATGGCCATAAAATGAAACACAGTAAGTTCCACCTCAACGTGAGGAAGAACTTTACACTGACAGTGGCACAGCACTGGAACAGGCTGCCCAGGGAGGGCAAAGATTGTCCCCCTCTGGAGACATTCAAAACTCACCTGGACAGTTCCTGTTGTTGGAAATGTGGAATATGTAAAGTTTCTTAAGCAAGGATGTTCTTTGATGTTTGATCTTTGGATACTTTCAAGAATGGAGATTTAATCAGTGAAACAGGGAGTAGTCAACAAGCTACTGTAAGTGATGTCCAGGTGTTAGAAAAACAAATTACTTGTTGGTGGAATTGCGTTGTTAAGGTTTAGGGCTCCACATGCTTCAGTGACCTCACACCTAATGAGGAGGTTGACAAAGCTTCTGAAGACAGATGTACCACAGATAGTGGGCACAAAGAATACAGAATTTACACGAGGACACAAGGACATCTGGCAGAATTCCCAAGAAAAAGAAAGAAACTAATAAATCCAACTCAGCAACCATGCTGCATCAGCTCCGACTGGGTGAAAGGTGATTCTGTCAGGGGCAGATCATGGCCACGACTCACAGACCACCGAGCTAAGAAACCCACCAACCCAAAAGAAGAGAAAAACTGAGCATATGGACTAATTAACGTGAGGAGAGAATCATTAACTAATAGAATATTAATTCATAAGAGACTACGTGACTTGTAGGCTCTGAACAAGAATTCATTTGTTTGCTAAAATGTATAAATAGTAAAAAGTTTTGATAGCTGGTACTCATGCCTGCACAACTCCGAAACGAAGAGTCAGTGCCTCTCCCGCGCGTGTCATTACTGGCTCGTTGCAGAGCGGGCAACGAATCCGATTTTTGTGGACAACACCGTGTCGCCTGTTCAGGACAAGCCGGCGGGGGGCTGTACCGGACGATGTGTAGCGCTGCCCTGCAGTCCCGGCCGTGCCGGGCCGGGCCGGTCCGGTCCGTGCCGTGTGAGGGGCACCGGGCGGGGCGGCCTCGGGGGCGGCGCCGCCATCGCTCCCCTCCCTCTCAGGGCGCGCGCGCCCTCCCCTCAGGGCTCCGCCAATGGCGCGGCTCCAGCTCGGCGCGCGCCCGTAGGCTCAGCCAATGGGAGGCCGGCGCGGGCCGGAGGGGCGGGGCGGAGCGGGGCAGGGCGGAGCGGGGCGGCCATGGCGGCGCTGTCGGTGCCGGTGCTGCTCGGGGCGGTGCTGCTGCTCTTGGGCTGCCGCGGGCCCGGCGCCGAGGGCCAGCGGCGGAAGGAGGTGAGAGCCCGCTGGGAGCCTCCTGGGCGGCTGCTGGGGCGGGTTCCCGGCGGGCCGCGGGGGCTCAGGGCAGGGCCCGGCGGGGCGGTCCGGCCTCACAGCGGCTCCTCGCCCTCAGGCGCGGCCGGCTCTGAGGGGAACCTGCGGGCGCGGCTGCGACCGAGTGTCTTTAATTCCGGGTTCTTCAGTTCTCTTTAGGAGCACTGTTCGAGTGTTGTCTTCCTCCTGCACGGGATTTTGGGCGGGGAGGGTGGGTGATCTTTGGTTGTAATCGTGAAGGTGCAACTTATTTCCGCACTTTTAACTCCTAGAGTTTGGAAAGATCCCTCTGTATAAGTGTTTGTACTTGTGTCAGTTTTATTTATATATGTCTAAATCTATTTATGCTTGTGTCAGTTGTGAGTCAAAGAAGGGTAGTTTATTATTTTTATTGTTATCATGGTGGGATCCTTGGGGCTGTGCAGGGCCAGGGGTTGTACTTTGATGATCCTACTGGGTCTCTCCAACCGAGGATATTCTGTGATTGTTTACCCTAAAGTATTTATCTCGAGAAGGATTTTAGTAAAGAGTGCTTTATGGTAAGTGTAACATTTGGGAATCTATCAGTCTAATACATCTTTGCATAATGTTATAGAATTGGTTTGCTCCTTTTTAAGGAATGTTTTGGTGTTGAGAACTCCTGAGTTCTTCAAATACGTTCTGAATCATATTTTCGTTCCAGCAATGTTGAAAACGAGATGTTGAGCTCACTACTGTAGAGCTTCAGTCTTTGGTGTTGATTCTTTGCCAAAATCATCTGTGAATGCCTTCCAGGGTCTTAATGAAGTATCCCATGGTCTGGATGGTGTTATTAGGAAATACAGCGCACATATTCGTTACATCAGACCTAAAACCCTTCAGGATGAGGGTGGAAAAAAGAAACAGTGATGTTCCTCTGACTTCATTTTCAGATGGTGTTATCAGAAAAAGTGAACCAGCTGATGGAGTGGGCCAGTAAAAGATCAGTTATCCGAATGAATGGAGACAAATTTCGACGCCTTGTGAAGGCACCACCCAGAAACTACTCGGTGATTGTGATGTTCACTGCTCTTCAGCCTCACAGACAGTGTGTTGTGTGCAAGTACGGGCTCCATTTAGTCCTAACTTACAACTTGAAAGTCATCCGATGCTTTGTAGGATGTGAAATTTAAGAATAGGGTTGAACTTTCACATGTGCGTAGGAGGAATATAAATGGCAAGTTATGATAGGATTGTCTTTGAAATTTAATGTGTGGGGATACATGTGAAATGTGTATGTGAGAAAACAGCATAATCCTTAGTTTTATCTCCCTCTTAAAATATAATCCCTGCTTGGCAGAAACAGTATTTACACTGATAACTTCTGGAGACAAGCAGGGTGAAAGCTCAGCTTTCCTGGCATGAGCTGCTGAAGAAACATTTTGTAGAATTACTGGTGGCCACGTAGCACGTAGCCTGTTAGGCACTTATTTATTTACAGTTATAATTTCCTGGATCTTCAACCATATTATGGCTTTCCTGTATTAATCTGGAGGTGGCAGAGGTCTGTGAGGGTGATTTGCATACCTAGTCAGATGAAATTACTGGTTTGCCATCCTCTGACGTGGAAAGGAGAGCACACCTGGCCGTGTTTTGGTGCTCTGTGGACAAGCAAATCAGGAGCAGCTGGGTTCTGTTTCACATTTCAGTCGGAAATTACCTCTGCTTGTGCTCTTGCATTTAAAAAAGCAGCAGTGCCAAATGCTTCACCTGACTGTAGATGAATGAGCTAAAATTTTTTCTTTAATTCTGAAACCAAAACTCGCTTTTTAACAGTAGAAAATGAGGTGTGGGGGGTGGTGTGGGAGGCACCTCTGAATAGGGTGGGTGGGCACAGCCACCTCAGCTTTATAACCCGTGTTCTGGACAAAGCCATGATCCAGCGTCTCGCTTGGTGTGTTTTCCAGGCAAGCTGATGAGGAATACCAGATTCTGGCAAACTCCTGGAGATACTCCAGTGCATTTACCAACAAGATTTTTTTTGCTATGGTAGATTTTGATGAAGGCTCAGATGTGTTTCAGATGGTAATGTTTTTCTCTTTCTCTTCTAACGCTGTTTTTAAGTTGGGTTTTGGGCAAGATGGTAAAGATGTATGCAAAATGGAGTGTTACAGTAATTAAAGGAATGAAAAGTTAGAGGCTGCCACTCTCAAAATAGGAGAGCAAAGGACTGGAGCTTGGAATTGGCAGGAAAATTAGCAGAACTGGCATATCTGGAATAGGCACAAGGAATGGATTGGTTTCTCTGACTGTTCTTTTTTTCCCCTGAGTTTGTCTTGTGTAATTCTTAATGGAATTCTCCTGTGGTACATGAAGAGCCAGGATATAAAGCAGTGATGTCATTAAAAACAGCTATTGCAGTTTTTAAATTTAGTAGAGAAGGCTTTTGGTATGGTTTAACTAATCTCTTTTCAAGTACCCAGTCATTTTTCTCTTGTATTAACATTATGTTACCACATTTTTTATAAAGGTGTGAGAACATTCCATGTACACTTGGAATTGTAAGTCAAATTAATAGTTCATTCTAGTCTTGTAGGTGTTAACTTCTTTTCTGTAAGACATACTAATGCCTATTTAAAAGCTACAATTCAGGCAATGATATTTTATGAAATGGAAGCTTTTGGACTGGAGAGTTGAACAGGGATGTCTCTTTCTTATTCCTGTTAATTTTTTCCTTAGTATTAAATTAACTCATTCATTAAGGTACGGCATTTATAGACTTTTAGAATCATGTATTCCTGTTTTGCAGATTTCTTTACTAAAAGCAGAATTTAGGGAGGAAACAGAT